CTCCCAGAAGAGACCCCGGACGGAGCACGGCCCTGCCGGCCCACTAGAACCCGAGAACAAAGGCATGTGATGCTGAGCCACGGAGCTCCTGGCGACTCGGCACAGCGGCCCCAGGAAGCGCTGAACGCAGCGTTTCAGGCTGGTTTTCAGTCACCGCCCTTGACATGGCCAATGTCACAGACCCACGTCAGCCCATCTGAGCAAGAGAACGAAAACAAAACCGGTGCTTTGGGAAAAGTGGTCTGCAGCCGAAAACAAGGTCCGAAGTCAAGGGTCAGAAATGGTTAAATGAGAACTCATGCGGAGTACAGCTCACCTGGGCTGGTGCAACGGCACAGCAGGTGAGGCTGCCCCTTGGAGCTCCGGTGTCCCGCATCACAGTGCTGCTTTGAGTCCTGGCTACTCTGCCTCCAGTCCTGCTTCCAGCTAGTGCGCTAGGGAGGCAGCGGATGATGGCCCAAGCACGTGCTCTCTGTCACCCACATGGGACACCCAGATTGAGTACAGCCCCTGGCTTGGGTGTGGCCTAGCCCTGACTATCGTGGGCATTTGGGGAGTATAAAAGCCTCTCCCTTGCACTCTTATCTTTCAAATAAATAAATAAATCTTTAAAAATAAAATTCAGTGGCACACCGTACAGAATTTTGAAGATGGGGCTGGCGTCGTGGTTCAGCAGGTTAAACTGCCACTTGCAAGGCTGGCGTTCCAGATCAGAGTGCCATTTTCAGTCCTGCTCTACGCTCCACTTCTGATTAAACTTCCTGCTAACGCACCTGGGAAGACACTGGAAGATGGCCCAAATGCTTGCCACCCACCTGGGAGACCTGGATGGAGTTCCTGGCCCCTGGCTTAAGCCTGGTCCAAACCTGGCTGTTATGACCATTTAGGGAATAAACCTCATAGATCAAGTTATACCTCTCTCTCTCTCCCTCTCTGTGTGCCTCTGTGTATTCTCCCTCTGCCTCTGTAACTCTGCCTTTCAAATAAAATAAATGTGTGAAAAGAAATTTGGAAGAAAAGGAAATTTACCTGGATGATGTGGCTAAGACAGAGGGAGGAGAGACTTCAAGGTGTTACACCTTGAGATGCATGGTTTTTTTTAATTTTAATTTTTTTATTTTTGACAGGCAGAGTGGACAGAGAGAGAGACAGAGAAAAAGGTCTTCCTTTTGCCGTTGGTTCACCCTCCAATTGCAGCCGCGGCCGGCACATCGCGCTGATCCGAAGCCAGGAGCCAGGTTCTTCTCCTGGTCTCCCATGGGGTGCAGGGCCCAAGCACTTGGGCCATCCTTCACTGCCTTCCCGGGGCAACAGCAGAGAGCTGGCCTGGAAGAGGGGCAACCGGGACAAAATCCGGTGCCCCAACCAGGACTAGAACCCGGTGTGCCGGCGCCGCAAGGCGGAGGATTAGCCTATTGAGCCACGGCGCTGGCCTGAGATGCATGGTTTTAAAACCTGTGGCTTCAGTGTGTGTGGTGGGGACAGGGTGAGGTGGGCTGTGTCTATGCGCAGCCTTTAAAATACAAGCACACCAGTGCTATGGCATGGTGGGATATGCCTCCACTTGCAGGGCCGGCATCCCATACGGGCGCTGGTTCGAGATCCGGTTGTTCCACTTCCAGTCCAACTCTCTGCTATGGCCTGGGAAAGCAGTAGAAGATGGCACAGGCCTTTGGGCTCCTGCACCCGCGTGGGAGACCTGGAAGAAGCTCCTGGCTCCTGGCTTCAGACCAGCCCAGCTCCAGCCACTGTGGCCCTTTGGGGAGTGAACTAGCGGATGAAAGACCTTTCTCTCTGTCTCTACTTCTTTATGTCTCTAACTCTGCCTCTCAAATAAATAAATAAACCTTTTTAAAAGATGCAGCCACACAACAGGAATTTTCCCAGGTCAGCTGGCACTGAGACCACTTCGGATGCTGGTTCAACACGCAGATCACTGGCTGCTGCAGATTCTGGGTCGGCACGCCTCACGCGGGGCCCAGCTGTCTGCTCCTGGGTGATCAAAATCCACACTGTGAAAACTACCAATCTAGGAAAACTAAAAGCGCATGCAGTCAAATACTCAGCAGGTCTCTAGAAGAAATGATGGCAAGGACAGGGGTCAAGTGTCCGGTGCAGGAGTTCAGACGCTGTCCGGGATGCCTGCAGCCCTGTCAGAATGTCTAAGGCTTGAGCCCAGGCTCTGCTTCCAACTCCAGCGTCCTGCTGCAGCTCAGCCTGGGAGGCAGCAGGGATGCCCGCACCCACGTGCAAACCTGGCCTCCACTGCGGGTGTCTGGAGGGTGGAGCAGTGGGTTGAAGAACTATGACTCTCTCAGGCTTTCAAATAAAATGAAATTGTTTTAAATATCAAAGAATAAAAATTGACATAGGCCACATAAAAAAGTCATTAAGCTTTTGTAAACTAAACAGCATAACCGAAATGTAAAGGGCCTTAGTGAAAAATATTTTCAGCAAGTGGCTAACATTTTATTAACAGGTCACACACACTGACAAGACAACAGGGCCAAGATCCCAGCGGATAAATGGGAATACACACGGACTACTCAGGAAAGACTGCAACACCTCCACGAACCAGAGAAATGCAGAACAGAACAGCCAGGCCGTGCACATGCCTGCCAAACAGATTGATCTTTGGACCAGTGATACTCAAAGCGGATGAGATACTCGAGCCTTAAACTTTCACACTTGCCACTGCATTCTACATCTGCTATCACCGTTTTGCAAAGTAATTTAGCAAATATATACAAGCAGCTATGGAAACATCCACATCGTCTGACAGAAGAAGGCTGCTTTTTTTGCAATCCAACTTACACAGTCTTGAACGTGGGAAAAAAATTATGCATAAAGGAGACTATTTTTTTTTAAAGATTTATTTGAAGATCAGAGTTACACAGAGAAGGAGAGGCAGAAAGAAAAAGAGGTCTTCCATCCGCTGGTTCACTCCCCCAGATGGCTGCAATGGCCGGAGCTGCACCGATCCGAAGCCAGGAGCCAGGAGCTTCTTCCGGGTCTCCCACATGGGTGCAGGGCCCAAGCGCTTGGGCCATCCTGCAGTGCTTTCCCAGGCCACAGCAGAGAGTGGAATTGGAAGTGGAACAGCTGGGACTTGAATGGAATGCTGGCACTGCAGGTGGCGGTTTGCCCGCTATGCCACAGTGCCGGCCCAGAGAGACTCTATTGCTACGTACTGCCACATAGTATTGGCACGCAGTACCATGGGGCAAGCAAGTCAAGGAGACTTCCAGCAGTTTCTCTCCCTGGCACAACACCTATGACTGGGCTGTGGATCCCAAAGAAAAATCTGCCCCTCAAAGCCCATTTTTCTCTCCACCATCCTGTAGGGACGTCTTAAATATTTTGGCAAGGCTGCTGCAAACATGCAAAACTGAGAGATTTGAGAATTTCTACTTGGTAACACTATGCTATATAAAATGTCTACTGTATAACACATAAGTGTGTGTGTGTGTGTGTGTGTGTGTGTGTGCATAAACATAATTCTGGCTACAATCATTACAATAACTAGAACTAAGAGAAGAATGAGCTCTGGGAAATCTGCTCCAACCGTGACTATCTCAGACCTGTGGTTATTATTGGGGAGCAGCAGAGAACAGGGCGCCACGCAGGAGCTGGGCCAGATGCACCCCCACCCACGCGCCCCCCCCCCCCATTGGCCTAACTGGCAGACCCTCAGCTGTGCGTGGTGTGGAACTGGACGCCTGGCAGCCGGAGAGGCCAGCACTGGGTGCTGGCCTGGGAGGAGCTGGGTCAGTAGCAGAGGCTGGGCCAGGGTGGCGGCAGTCGGGGCTTTAACCTCACTGGCAGAGACGAATTCAGCCCATTGTTTATGCCATCAGGTACCCGGCAGAAGCCGCTCCGGCATCTGCGTCCTCCAGAAACAAGCAAACACAGGCAAGATTCCGGGAGAGGGCAGTGCCAGCCAGGCTCTGGGCTTCTCTTCGAAACCCTCTGAACTAGAAGCTCTGGGTCGGTGTCCACCTGTGTGGCTTCTTTGGGAAGTGAACCTGGACCTGACAAAAGTGCAGCTGGAGGATCCCTGCAGGCTACCCCCGGCCATCTCAGACAAGTGCACGGTCATCCAGGGCTCCCTGTGTGAAAGGAAACGGCGCCCCAAAGGGCTCAGTGACACCGGTGAAGGTTCACGCTCAAGTCTCCCAGCAAAGTGAAGAGACTGAATCATGCCATACACTGTGTGTGTGTTTCCAACACACATCTCCTGTGTAAGTATGTAGAGTTCACACATGCAGAAAGTGGTGTACCTGCACGAGCAGTGATCTTCCAGGGCAATTTCCTCGTTTTTCTAATTATTAACAGAATTTCAGCACTCCGACAATAATTTGCAACTAAATTGGGGTAAACATGTGTTCACTTCTCTATGTGTTACTACCTGTTTTCAGCCCGAACGTAGCTATTCCTAATGCACTTCTGTTTCTTTTACCCAAGACTTTTAATAAAATGGGCCCTACAACTGAAGCGTGAGTCTTGCTAAGTGGCCCTTTACCAGGCTAAGGCAGGCGGGAGCCTATGTCTTCACGTGTTCCCCAGTCCCTTCATACATGTGCATATGCATTTGCGTTTCTCAAATCCATGAACGTGTAAGTGGAGTTCAATAAATTTATTCCTGTAAAAAGATTATTTGTGTTTCTCTTCCATTTTGCTAAGAACATTAAGCATATTTCTAGCACAGTATAAGATATTGGCTTTAATCTTTCTGAACCTGTAACATCCAAAGGCATATATAGCAAAATGCTTGCAGTCTCACTTTCTCTGTGTAAATGGTCTTAACCCAAGTCCACCTACTTGGAAAACACCCCTTTCAGAGACTGCATCATTTGTCTTAAAAGGACCTCACAGTAAGCGATACCATAGGTATACACACACTCCCACAAATACTAATGCTCTAAGATCCACAGCAAGGAGATTCAACTTCGTAACACAGAAAGAGAAAAGGGCTAAAACAAGCAAAGACGAAAGATTACCTTTTTGTGCAAGGCATGGAATTCGCTGTATCTTTTCTCAACAAAATGTTTTCTTCCATTCATTAGCACTTCTATCTTAAACACCTACACGGGAAAAAAAAATTTGAAAGATTAATTCTGCTGGTTCAAAGCCCTCAAAGTGTCTGATGCAGTAAGTTTGTGACCATGATGTATTTCATCCCTTTAATTACAGGAGCTGATCCCCCAAAAGCAGAAGGCTCCAGAGACCCTGGCCCAGCACACTGATTAATGAGCGCTCAAATCAGAAGCTCACTAACAAACTATAGCAGCCTCCAAAAACATGGCTAAAAACAAGCAAAGACATAACTCATTAGCAGGATACCGAATTGTTTAAATTACAGAACACAGTCATCGCTTAACGTGATTTCGCCAAACGAACAGGATGGTACTGAAACAGAAGCGTGATGTCACAGCCAGACTCCAGGCGCAGGCTCAGGCAGGCGGCACTCCATTCTGGGGATTTCGACAAAGGCGGGTGGTGACATCGGGAAGTCACACATGCAAACAGCAGCGCATTTCAGGTTAATTTCTTTGTAACCTGCATATTCATCTCTAGTCTCAGCTGGGCTTATTCTGCTGTTTGCAAAACAGGGGCAATGTTGTAAAGGCTCATTTTCCCTGCATGATGCAAGTGACAGCTCGTGCGCCGCCTGCGAAGGTTGAAAGGCCAGATGAAAAGGCTCTCGGAGCGCACTAATTAGTAGGCACTGACATGACATTCTCTTGATTCCTGGGTCAGGGGGTCAAGGCTGGGAACAAGGGATGAGAAATATCGTGAAATGCTCATGGAAATAACAACGCTAAGGTCAGGTGGGGAGGCCTCCTTGGCAGGAGCTCGGAGAAGGCGCACGGGTAGCCAGGGTTTGCATCGGAGACAGTATCGGTCAAGCACTTGCCAAGCCCAATTTCCGATTTTAATCACTTTCTTTTCAAAAACAAAGCGGAACTCTATTGTGGTCAACGTGACACGAAAGGGTGTTAAACGCATGCTCGCTGTAAGCCTGAGAACGAGAGCTTCTTGAATTGAACCCGTGAGGTCCAAGTCACACGTTCAGTATGGAAACATCACCGCGGCTCTAGGTCAGCTCATGACACGTGAGTATGACACAGCTACAAAGCCGGGATTCTGTCTTCAACACGGAACCTGTGTGCACGTTTGAGCTCTTCTGAATCAGAAACCAAACTCTTCCGTTGCACGACTCAGCTTAAGCAATCTGTTTTGCTTAAAGAAACCCCCAGAAATACAACTCTTTGTTGAACTGACAAAAATATTTCCTTCTAGCATATGCTGTTAACCCTCAGACACACACCCATTATTTAGGGGAAGATATCTGTTTAGTAATTCACTAAAGAAAATGCTGCTGCTTCAAAGACCTGGTCCGAAGCAGAAGCAGGAAAACACAGGAGAGCACCGGCCAGGGCAGCGCGGCGTTCGCTGGGGGTCGTGAACAGGACGCAGAGCCCACTTTCAGCGCCAGGTCCCGGGTTTCAATCAGGACCACACGGGAGCAGTGAAAACAGCTCCCACCCGCTGAGCCACAGGAACCAAATGAAGTGATGCTCGGCCCAGATACTGGAGGCTTCATCACAAAATCCACCACTTTAATTGGTGGCGGAGTCCGTGGAACTGGGAGAAGGCGCAAGGTTAAGGCTAGACCTGCTGGGTCACCCCTCCAGGGACCTCTGAAAGGCCGGGAATGAAACACCTCTGGGAATCACCACCGGGAACAGCACACCTGCTGCCTCCTGCATTGCCATCCCCTCCATGCCCCAGTGGCTCTGTTCCCAAGCTCCTCTCTGCCCCGAGCACTCGATCCACAGAGGGGCCACGGGATTGGGAGTGGTATGCACACAAAGCAAAGCCTGTGACAGATCTCACGTCTAGTATTTTATTATGCTGTCACTGAACACACACACACCATCGTAACATTGCTAAGGCTTTTTTTTTTTTCCTTCTGAATGCTTGGAAACATTCTAGGGAGGAAGCGGGTTAATCTGGATTTTCTCGGCAAAATGAAGCAGAAACGGAGTCGATTTAAATAATCCTATTTTCCTGACTGCCACACCGGGCCTTCTTTTTCCCGCTGTCATTCTGAGTTTCCTGACACATGCTGTCCCTGCTGTTTTGCTCTCCTGCAAACCCCTTGCGTTGCAGGCGGCTGCAGTGCACGATGGGGTATGGAAGGCGCCCAGCACAGTCCCTGGCGTTCATCTGTTTATTAACCCAGCAGATGCTCACTGGGGCTCTACAAAGCACACAGGACTTGTTCTGGGCTCTGTGAGCCAGCGGTGAGCTAAACAAAGCAGAGTTCAGCCTTGGAGGACCTGCCATGGTGTCCAGGGAGGGAGGCCAGCACCCAGGGTGAACCAAGGACCGTGGCAACAGGGTGGAGGAATGCAGGCTGCGTGGCCCCTGAGGGCTGCCCAAGCATGGAGGCACCAAGGGAAAATCACCAGGGAGACAGGAACACAGCAGCTGAGTGGGGCTGCCCCTGCGTTTCAGGTGGGTACCAGGGGGCCAATGGTCTTTTCACTCCTATGTAAAACCAGAACCATTTTAAAATTAAAGCCTAGTGCACACTGACTACCAAGACAGAGTAACAGGGGGAAGACTGACCTGCAACCCCATCACCTGGACAGAATACAAAACTGGACAAAACACATGGGGGACAGAAAGGCTCCCAGGCCCCTGGGCATCAGGGAACCCAAGGGAGGAAACAGACACAAAGAGCCCAGCCTGCCGCCTGCAGAGGCTTCCCAGGCCCCAGGCCTCCGTGCAGGGAAGGGGTCCCCACCCAGGATGAACCCTGCGGCCCCTCCCTTCACATTCAGGAAGGGGAGCTGGGAGCAGGCGGCCCAGGTGGTTGAGGTTCTCAGGGCAGGCACTGGAGGGCCAGGAGCGGGGAGCAGGGAGACACCTCCAGAGCTGACAGGGGCCACCCCCAAGCTCCCAGACAAGCAAATGGGACAGGGGAGGTCGTCCCCAGGGATGTGGGAAGGATCACAGGCACAGTGCTCAGTGCGCACGTGCAACGGGGGACCCTGCCTGCTTGCCACAGTCAGGCTGCAAAGCCTCCGAAGTCCTGAGGCGTTAGGGGACTCAGGACGAAGGCAAAAGTAACTGTGTCCCTGCAGTTCAACAGAGCTTAAAGGCAACACCTGAAGAGATCACACTGTCTCCACAGGCCAGACAATGCTCAAGAATATTAGGAATATAAAAACACCCAGCAGCCTACAAGACAACGTGCACAAAATCACATTTAATCAAACGGAAGCAGGGGCCAGCGCTGTGGCGTAGCGGGTAAAGCCACCGCCTGAAGCGCCAGCATCCCATATGGGTGCCAGTTCAAGACTCAGCTGCTCCACTTCTGATCCAGCTCCCTGCTATGACCTGGGAAAGCAGCAGAAGATGACCCAAGTCCTTGGGCCCCTGCACCCACATGGGAGACCTGGAAGAAGCTCCTAGCTCCTGATCATTTTAGTTCCAGCCATTGCAGCCATCTGGGGAGTGAACTAGAGGGTAGAAGACCTCTCACTCTCTCTTTCTGCCTCTCTGTAACTTTGCCTTTCAAATAAACAAATAAATTTTTTTTAAAAGAATCAAATGGAAACAGAAAAAGACAACTCAATGGTAGTAAGACAAACCAATCAGCTCAAACTGACTCGGAAAAGACAGATCGGGGCCAGCATGGCACAGTGCCTGCAACACCAGCTTCCTATCTGATCACCAGTTGGAGCCCCAGCTGCTCTGCTTCTAAGCCAGCTCCCTGCTAATGTGGCTGGGAAAGCAGCAGAAGACCATCCATGTACCTGGGCCCCTGCTACCCACGTGGAAGCCTAGATGGGGTTCCAGGTTCCTGGATGTGTCCTGGCCTAATCCCAGTCATTGCAGCCACTTGGGAGGGAACCAGCATACGGAAGAGCTCTCTCCATCTCTGTCTGTCTGTCTGTGGTCTGTGTGTGTGTCCTTCTCTCTGTAGCTCTGCCTTTCAAAAATAAAGGAGGGACCGGCGCTGTAGCGCAGCGGGTAAAGCGGCCACCTGCAGTGCTGTCATCCCATATGGGTGCCAGATGGAGACCCGGCTGCTCCACTTCCAGTCCAGCTCTCTGCTATGGCCTGGGAAAGCAGCAGAAGATGGCCCAAGTCCTTGGGATCCTGCACCTGCATGGGAGACCTGGAAGAAGCTCCTGGCTTCGGATCGGCACGGCTCTAGCTGTTGTGGCCAATTGGGGAGTGAACCAGTAGATGGAAGACCCCCCTTTATCTCTCTCTCTGCCTCTCTGTATAACTCTTTCAGATAAGTAAATAATCTAAAAAAAAAAAAAGGAAACCTTAAAAAATAAAATTAGTAGACAACAACATCAAAATTAGGAGAGAATTTCTTACATTGAAGAACCAAAAAGAAAAGCTAGCTGTGTTACGTGGAGAGGTATGGAGGGAACTAAAACAAACAAAAAACACTTAAAGAAGAGGTCTGTGTCCTATTGCTATCTGGGATAAAAACAAACCAAAAATACACTGCATATAACAGCAGATTAGACTAGACTAGACGCTGCAAAAGATTAGTGTTGAAAACCTGTCAGGGCCAGCGCGGTGGCTCACTAGGCTAATCCTCCGCCTTGCAGCGCCGGCACACCGGGTTCTAGTCCCAGTCGGGGTGCCGGATTCTGTCCCGGTTGCCCCTCTTCCAGGCCAGCTCTCTGCTGTGGCCAGGGAGTGCAGTGGAGGATGGCCCAGGTGCTTGGGCCCTGCACCCCATGGGAGACCAGGAGAAGCACCTGGCTCCTGGCTTCGGATCAGCGCGGTGCGCCAGCCGCAGCGCGCCAGCCGTGGCGGCCATTGGAGGGTGAACCAACGGCAAAGGAAGACCTTTCTCTCTGTCTCTCTCTCTCACTGTCCACTCTGCCTGTCAAAAAAAAAAAAAAAAAAAAAAAAAAGAAAAAGAAAACCTGTCAGTGGAAACAATCCACTTCATTAGAGAGATAAAAAGGAAATCTTAAAAAATAAAGAAACAACATCAGCGAACCTTGGGAGAGCTAAACAAGAAAACCTAATTATCAAA